TTATACTTATGTAATTTTGTTTGAAAGATCAAAGTTATAAAAAAGTATAAAAGTGGGCCAAAAATGAAAACTGTGCCATGAATGATCCAAGGACCAAGTTTAAGTGAAATTTATATTTTAACAGTCATAATTTGTTTAAGAATGTGATTTATATGCTTGGAATTAGGATTACATAATAGATAAGAGAATGACAACACCTCCCATTATGCTTAAAAGTGCGATCAAAATGAGAAAACCACATAAAGATATGATAAGAATGAAAACAAGTGAAATAAGACTTTTGTAGCCTACCTAAATGTATTTAAAGTGCATTGGAAGCTTTTAACACCGAAAAGAAGGGACCAAAATAGTGATATGCAAAAATCTTGGAAAATATGACAAAATTGGACAAAATATGAGAAATGGTGTTAAACATGTCTTATGTTATTATATTATGGTAAAACTTGTATTTAGATATGTTATAACATCTATTAGATGTAAAATAGTTCAAAATATTTAGTGCTTATACATGCATATAAAGACATGAAAGTAGGTTGCTATATTTGGTAAAAGTGACGAAATAGATTGTAATAGTGTGCAATTGTTGGATAAAAAACTAATCTTATGGATGGATCATAATCCATGGAATTCATCAAAAACATTGTCTAACTGTGATTCAATACATGGAAAAGTGTAGTTTAACACAAGGTATTGATTCTAGTATTTGCCTTTAGATTTTCAAAGTATACCCCTTGGGTTTTCTTTTGAAGGCATAGCGTTATTGCATGAAATAAGTGGTTTCTTAATTCTAATGTTTATCCAAGACAAATAATAATAAGTATAAAGAATCAACTAATTTGGAGTTATAATGAAGAAGTTATGGATAAAACAAATTGGCATACGTTCTACTCAATCCACATAAGTTTAGCTTGATGTGGTTCTTGATTTGTATTTGGATGTAGAATCCTCAAGTATAAAACATGTGGTCCATGTATGAACATGCCATATGGCTACTCAGCACATATAGACACAATTGACCAAGTTCTGACTTCGACTTTAAAACATATTTAAGTTTATTTCAACTCTTAATGCCCACAAACTTGTGTGTGTACTATGAAGGTGTGATTATTGATCGTTCTTACTATATGAGTAATGAAATCAAGTGAGCATTAAAGATGGCCTGGATAATTAAAAAGAATTAATATGAAAATTGTTGGAGTAAGAGTCATAACCTTTCATTTGTTTATTAGAATTAATGAAATTAGTTATGAGCATGGAATTGACTTATTTATTCAACACATATGAGAAAATATAATGTAGACAAGAAAAATATGGAATGAAATTAATATGTTATTAATATAACTTAATATGATCAAATCATTCAATAATGACTATTATTATATGGGTTTTAGGTTAAAAAATCCTAACTTAGATGATTGTATTGGATGATGGATTTGTTGTTGAACAATGGCAATTTAAGCATTAATATAATGTTATCAAGGCAAGAGAATTATGAAAAAAATTCTTGGAGATTAGAAATTGATGAAATTTGGAATATGTATATGTTAGGTTTTGGTTAAAACAAATAAACTAAGAAAACAATTCCTAAGTTCACATGCAACCTACTTTGGATCTATGCTTTAACCATTGAACATATAACTTTGAATTGCAAAACAATAATCCTAAGAGATGAGGCTATTTTTGAAATTAACCAATTAGGGTTTTAGAGTTACATACCTTTCAATTGTTGTAGTAAACAATTGGTAATCCTTTAATCTTGATCTTCGTAAAAGATTAGCACCACAAATGCAATGCCTCTTATGGAATCATACCTAAGAGCTAGCAAGAAAGAAACTGATGAGGAGGGAGAATAGGGTATGTAATTTTCGGCCTAGGATTTCTTCAAAGGAAGGAGTGGCTGATTTTGGGAGCCAGAGGCCTCCTTATATAGCTGAGGTGGCTAGGGTTTAGGGAAAACCCTAATGTTCCTTTGCTTAAGGCCTATGCTTATCCAAAGGCCTTATCTAAACCCCTGGGATGGGATCATTAGGGTTTCTCCTATAGATTTCATCCACCCCATTCCAAGGAGGTTCTGGAACCTTCAACTCAACTATTAGATAATTGCAAACTAGTCCCTGTACTTTATAATTAATACAATTAACCCTAAAATCGTATCTAATTAATTTTTGTCTAACTATTAATTAAAAATTAAAATTTCTTATTAATACATTAATCTTTTAACATATTAATAGCTCATATTTATTAATTTATTAATCTTATAATAAATTAATATCTCTCCTTTCAGATTTCCCTTGTCCAATTGTTAGGTTTGAAGGTAACCCAAAAGGACTATGCTACTATTAATTCAAGCACACATACCAATTATAGTTATGGGCTTAGACACCTAATCCAACAGTCTCCCACTTAGATAAGTCTGTAACTATAATTTCAAGTATGACTTTTAAATCGACCAGCAAATTGTAGCTTCCAAAAGTTGTTGCCAGACTTTGACCCAGTAAGTCACGTGTCCTAAGATAAGTGATCATATAATCCTTCGTTATGCAAGATATCCCTAGACATAAGACATGGAATGTAATCAATCTCTTTGTCTAGAATCTATGTTTCCCTATTTCTTATTTGTGATGATTTAGGACTTCTAACTGAATACATTAATTCGTCCTGGCACTTTTCTGGTTAAGGCAAAAGGAACAAATAAAATTTGACTAATATGCTTGCATCTTTTACTCATCAAACCATACATGACAATGCGTTTTATAACACCAAGTTATTGATGCGTTTTCATATCACCAATGCATGACCGACTTGTAAATTAAAAGCAATATTTATTCGTTTCAAGATTATAAGATATTATCATCTCAGTATTACTCGTGATTAATTCTATGAAGTAATAATCTAAGTGACGGTTTATCCAATACTCAAATATAAATTCCTAAGTACCCATGAAAATTATCGCTATTCTATTGCTATGTCTAACCTTAGACAATCTGCAATCCAATTCATGACAGTGTTAATTCACTAGTTACTCCTAAAAGTACGACCGACTGTGGATTTGAATAATCACATTATTCGAGGAGTAAAACATGCAAAATATGAAACACAATAATAAACAATTGACAAAAGGCAGTAAACAACTCATTAATAATACTTTATCATTTATTCACCAAAAATCAACTACATTTAATTTGTAACACGTTTCAAAATAAAACTAATCTAGCTGCTAAAAATAATATCATCTCTCAGTCCAATGTTCCGAGCATGCTGCATATGCTTAACCCTACTTAGACCCTTAGTGAGGGGTTCTCCTGGGTTATCCTCAGATGATGCCCTCCTTACAATAAGATGGCCTTCTTCTACTCTATGTCTTATTAAATGGTACTTCTGTTGATATGTCTAGTTTTACCATGATCCCTGGGTTCCTTTGTTAAGGCAACCTCTCCTTTATTATCGCAGAACAGATCCATAGGCTCCTAGATGGTTGGAACAACTTCGAGATCTCCAATGAAGTTCCTCAACCAAGCAGCTTCCTTCGACGCTTCACTCGCTACTATGTACTCTGATTCACAAGTAGAATTAGCCACCGTATCTTGCTTGGAACTTTTCCAAGTAACTACTCCTCCATTCAGTAGAAATACCCAGCGAGATTGAGAACGTAAGTTATCTCTATCCGTTTGAAATTTGGCATCACTGTAACCATCTACTCTTAAAGTATCATTGCCACGAAGTAAAAGGACCCATTCCTTTGTCCTTCACAAATACTTGATTATATTCTTAACCACTATCCAATGAGCTCTACCCAGATTTCCCTGATAGCGACTGACCATGCTCGAAGCAAAGGTCACATCAGGGCGTGTACATGTCATAGCGTACATGATCTATCCGATAGCAACAACATAAGGTACACTACTCATGTCAACTATTTCCTCATCTGTACTCGGGTATTGAATCTTACTCAATTTGGTATTTCTTTGGATTGGTAGCTCTCCCTTCTTGGAATTTTCCATACTAAACCTATTTAGTACCTTGTCCAAGTATTAACTTTTTTGAAGGTTGGAACGTCGTTACCAATGAGTAATACTTCATCAACATATAACAACAAAAAAGTTACTATACTCCCACTAGTCTTGATATACACACAAAACTCATCTTCACTCCTATAGAAGCCAAACTCTTTGATCTTCTCATGGAAGCAAAGATTTCAACTACAAGATGCTTGCTTCAATTTATAAATGGATTTCTCAAGCTTGCATACTCTGTTGGGAAACTTTGCATCAACAAAACCCTCTAACTGATTCATGTAAACATCCTCAGATAACTTCCCGTTAAGGAAAACAATCTTGACATCCATTTGCCAGATTTCATAGTCATGAAATGCAACTATGGTGAGTAATATCCTAATGGATTTAATCTTACCTACAAGTGAGAAGGTCTCATCATAATCAACCCTAGGGTTTGAGAGAGACCTTTTGCAACCAGTCGAGCCTTCAATGTGTGTACATTTCCATCCATGTCTATCTTCTTCTTGAAGATCCATTTGCACCTAATTGTCTTATGACCTGGTGTATTATCAACCAAATTCCAAACTTGGTTGTCATACATGGACTTTATCTCAATGTCCATTGCCTCTTTCCACTTGGAAGCCTTTGGGCTGGCCACTGCTTCCTTGTTTGTAGCTGATTCATCTAAATTTACCAATGTCCTATCATTGATGAATGTGCACCATCTGAAGTAATATGAAAACCATATAACTCAGGTGGTACACTCATTAATTCTAGTTTCATGTTCATGTATTGAGGTTTCTAATGTCCTCAAAAGCTTCCATCCATAAACAATTTTTAGGATTTATTAAACAATTTCAACATGAAATCAAAAATTCCAAACGAAATCGACGTTAACTTAGGTTTACAGAAATTACCTTCACATTTTGTGTTTATAAGTTGAAAATCATAATGATTGGGTTGTTTCTCCGTGTTTTTCCATCCTCCACAAGACCGAAATCGCTATCATCCATCACCAACGATAGCCGAAGATGGTGACGAACGGGCACGCCGAAGATGGGAGGTCAGAGGGTGTCCTGCAACGTGGGGTGGATATGCGATTTTTATGGAGCGAGTTTAGCTATTAGGGAAAAGTGTTTGAGATATCCGTCGACGCCAGCCATAAAAAACGATTTTAGAAAGAAAACGTACCTCTATGTGCGATAGTCGAAGAGGGAAAGCCGGAGATGGTGACGAACGGAGCGCTAGTGGAAGGTCTCTGGGATCGATAGTGGAAGGTCTCTGGGATCGATGTTGGAGGCGGTGACGAATGGAGTGCTAGAGGTGGCCGAAGGTCTCTAAGATCAAAGTTAGAGATTGCACCCAGAAGATGGAGGGTCTCGTGAAAAAGAAGATAACATAGGGAAGGGAAAGCGGGATAATTAGGGATAGATAGGTATATGGGGGGGGGGGAGAGATTAAAAATTTTCGTGAGGCATATTGGCGGGAGATTGGAATTTCTTGTGAGGATCCAACATAAAAACCGATTCCAAATATGTGTGAGGTAAAAAAAATTGTTGCAGAAATGATTCGAACTTACACCTCCACTAGAAATGACCAAACGATTTACTAAGAGGCTGGGAATTCCACATCCATACTCATATGGCCTCTGATTAAATATAATACACTTCTTTGTTGTTGTTGTTGTTGTTGTTGTTGTTGTGTTGTCGTCGTCGTCGTTGTCGTCGCCGCCGTCGTCGTCGTCGGTGGTGGTGGTGGTGGTGTTGGTATCAGTTGATATCAGTTGGGATAGCACTAATGAGAACATAGTTTTTCATAACATACTGTTAACCTAGCATTTCAACAAATGATCCATATCCTAATACACATTTTAAATTAACTAAAAATCCATATATAAACATTTATCTAACATTTTTAACAAATTTAACAAATTAACTTAACATTTCAACGAATGTGTTTAACACTCAAACAAACGAACAATCGGAAAAAACTACATTTAACACATCAATAATGTGAAATGATATACGTTTAATGTATAAATTAAATAATGATGTTATACGGGAGTATTGATCGTTCTCACTTTGAGATGTTATATAGGAGGAACTGCAGAACCCCAATATGTTGGGTGAGATTGGACAGAGGGTCGTGGGGAATACCGAGGTGGTACTCAAGACAACGGAGAGGATCCAGCAGGTCCAAAGTAGGCTTCAGACTGCTCAAAGTCGGTAGAAAAGTTATGCCGACAAGCGTCATTCGGACCCAGAGTTCCAGGTCGGGGATATGGTCCTCCTGAAGGTGTCACCTTGGAAAGGTGTCATCCAATTCAGGAAGCGGGGAAAATTGTGCTGCAGATACATTGGACCGTTCAGGGTATTGGCACGGGTTGGTAAGGTGGCGTATAGGCTGGATCTACCAACCGAGCTTAGTCAGATCAACAATACCTTTCATGTTTCCTAGCTACGGAAGTGCTTGGTAGATGACTCCACAGTGGTGCCTCTAGAGGATATTCAAGTGGATGATAGTCTGAACTACATCTAGCAACTAGCGGATATCCTCCATGGGAAGTCAAAGGATCTGAGGAACAAGAGGGAGGAGCTGGTGAAGGTGCAGTGGCAGCAGCAGACTTCGAGGACGAGTTGGAGGCCCGAACTCATTGAGTAGGGATAGAGTTTGGATGCGGGTGGACGAGCCTACTCGATGAGTCGGAAGCCCTGACTCGACGAGTAGAGCTGTCTGAGGGAAACCTTAATTTTTAGGGTTTCCACCCTATTTAAACACCTTATATGGCCTCCACTCTAGCCCAATCACCTCCAAACCCTATTCACGAAACCTTATGTAACATCCTAAATTTCGAGTCCAGAAATTTATTTTTTAATTAATTAACTTATAAAATCATTTCTCAAAACATAGTTGTTAACATAAAAATCCATAAACCGTAGTGATCATGTTTCCGAAATCATATCATCAAGTAGTAATAAAATCATAGTACAATCCCATGAATCGCAAAAATGCGAAAAACTGGTGTGCGTGTGACGTGCAACTACCACACCGGCTCCTTCCCATTCGCTGAAGAGGTGCCTGAAACAAAACTAAAAACTATAAGCACAAAGCTTAGTGAGTTCCCCCATAATACCATATACCCTACTATAACATACTGTCAGACATATTTCGGTGCCCGACCTACCCTGCTAGGCATACCGGGGTGCCTAACCTACCCCTGTCAGACATACCGGGGTGTCCGACCTACCCATTTGGTCCCATCGACCGGTAGTCAGGGACTATTCCCCTTATTACTACCACCATCACATATAACATATCATGCTAACACATAAACGTACAAGGTAATAGGAAAGCAGACAATTATCACAAAGACCATCATCTCAACTATAATCAAATACTAGTGGGTAGGCCTTGGTGCCTTAGACCCACTTCTACTGGAAGGTAACTCACCTCGATGTCATGTAGTATCTGCACAGTCCTTGGTGTGAAAATCGACTCTCCTCGATCCCTCAATCCCTACACGACAACATTTCTAAGTTATCTAATCACACTCATAACCCTTACCAGGGTCACTCAAGTCCAGGTCAAGGTCAAGGTCTAAACCTTGGTCAAAGTCAACATCTAGTTGACTCGACTAGCCGAGTTGGTCCACCAACTCATCGAGTCCCCATGTCCAGACATTTCCATAATCCCATCCTTACTTGTGGAGTCTAGCAAGAGCTTGGCGAGTTCGCCTTCAACAACACATCAGACTATCTTCAACCGTCTCGCTGAGTCCATCCTTGAACTCGTCGAATTTATCTTCATCCATATGTAGGTGTTCAGTCTAAGACTCGCCGAGTTCTCCTCGAACTCGTCGAGTCCGTCTTCATGTGATTGGGACATTGCCTTGGACTCGCCGAGTCTATTCTGTTGGATTAATGTCTAAGTCCATAACTATAATTGGTAAGACTTGACCCGACCCGACATGGTCCATTTAGGTTGCATGGCATCATGCATTTGGATAGACTATAATGAGAGAAATAACACTTCACGTTGATTAATATATTATAAGTTCTAATATATTAATAGGATTATTTAATTAGTATTGATCAAGAATTAATCTAGAATTAATTAAGTGATCAAAAGAAGACTAATTAAATATATGGGTTGATTGTGTAAATTATCCATACTTGTATAGTAGGCTAATGCTCCATGGATAATCAAGTTGGGCTAAAACTCATAGGATGGTCCATGGATGCTCCATGGTGTACTTGAACCCATGGATCCAAGGAAATGGAAGGCCATGACAATTAGGGTTTACCCTAATTGTAACGACTATATAAGATCATATTCTTTGGGAAAAATCGGCCACTAAGTTAGGAAGAGAAGGGCTAGCCGATTTTAGAAGTGATCAAGTTTCTCTCAAGTTATTTCAAGTGTATCTGGTGTTGTGTGAACCATTTGAGGTGTCACACTTGGGGCACTAGGCACTCAAGCTTCTTGAGAACCTTCTACACCAAAGAGGTATGTATGCTATCTTGTTATATTCATTGTTTTGTATGCTAGATTAGTATAATACCTTGGATGTTCATATTTGCATGTATAATAGAGAAAACATAGATCCAAGGTATTTAGGGTTGCATGTACACTTAGGAGTGCTAGAATGCTCAAAACCCAACAGTGGTATCAGAGCCTGGGCTTGTTTTCTTGTTATACTTGCAAAAGTAGCTGAAAAAAAATCGAGTTTTGATGCTGTCTGCACAGCAGACTCGCTGAGTCCAAGGCAAAATGCATCCAACTCGCCGAGTTGGTTCGTGCACTCGATGAGTTGGACCCCCATACAGCAAATATTCGATTGTTTTGGCTGGAATTGGACTAGAAACATTACCCTAAGATGTTTTTGGACTTATAAACTTGTTTTTGATGTGGTAATGTTCATGCTAATCCAATTTCTAAGATAATTGTCATAATTTCAAGATTTGTATTAGTTTGTATGTTCATGCTAATTTCTTGAAGATTAATGATTTAAATTATCTTGTTCTTAGATTAATAGAAAAGTTGTGTGAAATAGTTTATTTTAATCTATTTTAATCTAAGAGATGATTCCAAAGTGTGTTTTTGTAACTTGTCCTCAAGTTATATGAAAAGTCACATTTAAGAATCATAAAACTCATAATAGTTGGCAAATGTTACAAATTGAAGAGTCTAGTTCTAATTAAATGGTTTTATGACTCCATAACTTGTCCTCAGGTTATGGAGGTTCAAGAGTCTCTTCATTAAATAAATATAAAAAAAGGAAAAAAAAAAGTGTAACATTAATTCGTTGCATAAGTTACAATAAAAAAAAGTTTTTTTTTTGTTAATTAGTTTAAAGTCTTCCATAAATTGTCCTCAAGTTATGCAACTTGAAGAGTTTTTTAATTAAAACTACTTTAAACTCATAAGTTATGGAATTAATTAGTTTTGAATAGTTTCAAAACTTGCCCTCAAGTTTTGGAATTTGCAAAAGTTTTCTCTTATTAATACTTTAATTCCAAGTTAAGCCCTTAGAATTTTAAAGAGTTAAAATTCAACCCTTATACTTTATAATATTATAAGTTAATAATATATATATATATATATATATATATATATATATATATATATATATATATATATATATATATGTATGTATAAGAATAAAGTCAGTCTTACCGTTAGTAGGCCTTATTCACGAAGCTGGTCTATAAGGGGGGTATAAGGTTACTGCCTTTAAAATGACAGTTTAATGGGTGTCCACTCTCACCCACCGCTTTCTTGACTGGTGGAGGGTCGTTAGCTGAACGGGTAGGACAAAGATAATAAGCTCTCCCTTCATTAAAAGTATTAATGATAAATACTAAGTAACTAAACACTTGTAATTCCCAATCTTAGTTACTTAGGAAAATGTGAATAAGGTGCTAACCCATGAAATTACACTTGGCACTTTGCTTAAGTCGGTTGCTGGAGCGTGTGTGGTTTACCAGCACACCAGCTTGATTTAACAGGGTAGGCGAAGGGTTTCTTAAAGTTTAATCATATGCCGGTGGAGCCTGTGTGGTTTACCAGCACATCGTTTGGGTGATAAACATTTAAGAGTACCAAGTAATTTGCATGGTTACTTCACACCTTGTTTTGTGATCCTCGACATCCCAGTCACAAAACCTGAAGGGCACACTCGAGATTGAAACATGCCATTGAAAAGTTCAATGAATCTCAAAAAAATCTAGGAGTTTCAAATCCAGTTAAAACTTAATTAATTATTTCGTTTTTCCATGGTGGAAATTGGCGAATCATCATTCACCTATCTTCAAATATTTTATAGCTTGGATTACGACATCCCTCTTCCGAGTTATAAATTAGTTTGTAGGGTCCTAGCCTTGATATTTCATATTGGGTGTTATATTAAGGACTTTTAAATCAACTAAACTTGAATATCTCCCAAAAGATGTCTAGTTCAGACATCTTTGATCTTCCCAAATCTCTTGGAACTTCACTTCCTCCACCCTCTCCAATTATTCTCCCTAACCCACAAGATCAAGGTCACTCAAGCCCTATTGGCAAGGCAAGGTCTAGGTGTGATCACATCTTGGAGATGAAGTCACATATTGACCAACCGAGAGAGTTGGGTGTCAAAGTCTTGAGAAAGTTGGTGGTACAATCACTTTCTAAGTCATATAGTGAGTTATTTTGGGACTCCTATGAAACAGACTATGACAAGACCCTTAACGATCTTATCTATTTGCTAAGATCAACTTCCTAGAACTTTTTGGACATTGACAATGAAGACACAGGAAATCCAGAAAA